GCCCCCGCCCGCCTGCTCCGAGGCGACGCACGTGGCTGCTCGGTGCCGCCGCCCAGCGGCTGAGCGCCGCAGCGGGGAGCTCCACCTCTGGCGCCGGGTCGGGGGAGGCTCCGCCCGGATGACCAGGGCAAGGGGGATGTGCGGTGGCCGTGGCCGTCGTAAAGCCGACAAAGTTCTGCTTCTCAAGGAAAACACAGTTCTTGTGTAGTGGGGTCAGACGGCTGGGCAGTCATATCAGATCACTATTATTTACAAAACAGTTTTTACAGAATACCCTCCATCTTGGACTTACTGCAGCAGCTATAATCACAGCCTTAGATTTATGAGCGTGAACAGAAATGGAAACTCCGGACAGGCTCACAGCAACAGCACAGCGTCTCAAGCTGCATCTTGGAGTAGGTTGCAGTCTTAGAAGGGAACTGTAAATCCTCACCAACTTTACCTTGATCCTATTTGCTGTGCAGTCTAGAGTGTTGTAATATTTCTACAATGCCCAGCTTAATGAAATCATGATATAAATGCTTCTAAGGACTAATTTCAGAGAGGTGGTGTGCCTTGCTCTGGACAAGCTCCCTCCATGCCTTTTTACCCTGGACACTGCAACAGATAGATCAGCATTTTCAAAGGGGAAAGTGGATCCTTGATCATGCCAGCTGATCAGTCTCCAGTTGTGTACTAGAGCTGAACAATATATGGTAATTTCCCAACCAGGCAAGCCGGGAGCTGCTAACCATCAATGGCAATCCTAATAAAGCCACTAAGACCAAATGTGCACGGGGTCACGGAAAGCATCAGCAGCACAGAGCACCAAGCCATTCCTGCAGCATCATCAGGTCTTCCAGGTTTGTTCACACTATATCTGCTAATGTGCATTGGCAGCATTAGACTGGACAAATATTTCACCTTGCACTTTTCTGGTCTGTCTGCAAGGATTATCAGTGAAGGGGCAGCTTTGCACACCACAGGAGAAAATATGGTGGGAGAGGGGGAAGAGCGAGAGGCTGCCCTCAGTCTTGCTGTGCTTCCAGCCTCGGGGATGGGACATTCTTGGATACAATTTGTCAGGAGAGTACTTTAAGCAGCCACCATAGCCATTTGTCTTTGTAACACTTACCGTAGCTGTTGCTTAATATTAACAAAATCTGACTGGTCCAATGACCATGACCACAGTGAAGACCTCACACATCATATCAAATCCATCATATGGTACTTTTGGGGCAAGTCTTCCTAAATCCCACCACTGGTAGCACAGCATCATAAAGACAACAGACATGCCCATAATACATTATGAAATGCATATTGTTCAATACACAAACATGGAGATGAGATGCAACATGTGACTATTATCCCAGAATAAAGAACACAAAAACACTCTACGCAGCATACTTGAAATGTTTGCACAAATACTGTAATTATTTTTTATTGTTAAACAATTTTAAAGCAGGAAAGTAAGACCCTGGAATATCTCAGCATTGTTGATAATTATGGGATTCAAGTAAGGAATGTGAGAAGGGTCTTCTAGTTGGTAGAAGCTTCCTTAGCTATTTTGCTAATCAGTGAGATGAAGCAGAATTGATCTCATCTCTGCTGTGACACTAGTGACTTAACGTAGGAAAAACGTTACCACGTTAAAGACTGAGGATTGGTGCGAACTGAAAGTAAGTTAAACAAAGAATAACAAGGCAGATGGTGCTGGTTATAAAATCACTTATCTGAAACAGCCACCTTTCCAACAATACAGATGAAGATAGATTTCAGTCCTCCTTAGCTCATTTGCAAAACTCCCACAGAAAGTCTGAAAGAAAGGAGGAGCTACCTTCTTATTAATCCTTTTACTTCAGGCATTACTTGAAAAGGTTTGCATGGAATATAGAGTTGTAGGAGCAGGTGGTCTTTATGAAGAGGATCATAGCAGTACCTATACAGTAAAAGGGACAGACTATGGCAAAAAGCTAATTACATGCCAGCTCTATAGCTATTAGAGCTTCAGCTGTGTCATGGAAAAAAGGGAGAAAATGAGTCTTGCGCACCTGTAGAACTGCGTTCTCAGAGGTTATTCACGATCAAAACTATAGAGAGTTGTTTGCCACAGAAGCCAGGTGGAGTCCCTAGGTTCCCAGTAGTAAGTAGCGTCATAAAATTCATAAATACTTTTTCCCCACCCAACACAGGAATCCCATTCTGCCACTGAACTATGCCTGGGCAAGCAATTTCTCGTGGAAAGTTTGGAATCTTATCGCAGAAATACTGTGCCATCCTCACCAAGAAACAGCTTTTGATAACATACAGTGATGACGATGATGACAGCATGAAACAGCCAACAACAATATATATTCCGTTACCTAGTGTGACGGTACTCATATCACAGAGATTAAGGTCCAGAAACACTTGAACCCAGGTGCTTAAGCTAAGTTTCTTATATAGATAAGAAACTCCTATGGAAAATCAGGTCGATTCTCTCTGTAGGATATATTTCCAACTATCCAATACAATTTCTTCTTGAACACCAAAGAGGCAAACCGAGTCAGAGCTAATGGCATTTCACAAAAGGAGCCCATGAATTCTGCATCAAATCAAAGCACTCTGCAGAAGCAGAAACACCTCACTCTCTATTGCCTCCCACAACATAAAGCTTCTGGTTACATAAGCAAGAAATCTATAGTCATTATGGCCTTCAGACATGGAAGGAAACTACAGCCACTGCTCTGTTAGAAAAAATGTACCAATAGAATCTATGAGTGACCTAAAGCTGCTAATACCTCCAGAAATATACAGCTTGTATCCCACTGATAAACTTTTTGGAAAATTCACATCTTTTAAGGCTGGAAGATAATATACCTCTTCTGTTTGATGGTAGAAATAGCAAATAAGTTTACCCTGAACTCCCTCAAGTGTTCCATCTGAGCCCCAACATAAATTCTCATTCAGACAATACACTCATCATACATGCCCTGCCTGAGCCCTCCACTCACCCATAAACTATCTTCTGCATTCCTCTACTTCCATTTTGTCTGGACATCCCCATAACTTTTTGGGTCTGCCTGCCTGGACCTCTGCAATCTCTCCATAGGTGACGAGGGAAAGCTGGACATAAGCCATCAATTCACCTAGTTGAGAAAGACACCCTGCAGGCTCAAAACACACCCAGCATTGCACTGCCCTGTAGGAAAGCAATTCTGAAGTCACTGCTAGGCTGCCTGAAGAGATAGGCTGTCAATTAACGTACTGTATTTCAAGTGTAAAAAGTCCTGATCTTCAGGAAGGAATTCATAGTGCAGAAGGCCATAGTACAGAGACTCAAAACAAAAGTTTGTGGTTGTGAGCATCAGCCACTATACAAAGCCTCAAACAGTTCTTCCAGGAAATGTTGTTCAGAAAGAATCTCACAGCAACAGCAAAGAGGACAATAAATACCAGGGAAAAATTCTGAGGTGTGATTCTCATGCTTTTGGTAAATATTTCTGTTTGGGGTTAATGTGGAAGACAGATAATCCCTCAGCTACAGCTTCTTTGCCCCTTCCAGACAATTTTTATGTGTAGGACCATTGCAGAAGCAAGAAGACTGGTCTAGACAGAGTCCGGAACTGATTCAGTTCAGCAATTAACTTTTTTCTGCTCATAAACACCATGGGGCTGCTCATTTGCATTTAGTCTGCCAAATGTGACAGCAACAAAGCTACTGCTTACAAGAATAGTCTGAAAAGCCATATGAGCTCTGCAGTCAGGGAGGCTAAAAGGGCAATGGCTCTAAAACAGCCTCCTAATTCCTAAACAAAGGTTCAAAGTCAATCCAATCCCATTAAAAAAATCCAATTACTAAATTTCTAAAAGAAACAGACAGACACACTTTCATACATACTGTAACCCCAGTTATGCACCAGGAGTACCTGGTAAGGATACAATAAAGGTACAGTAACCTGTGGTGCCCTGCCTGGAGACAACTGGCTGCTGTGAATAGGCCTCTTCAGTAATTAGCATATCTCACATGTGTGGACACAGTTCAACACACTTTCCATAACAGAAGCAGTCATATCAGTAAGCACAACTTCCCTCCTTGGATCGCAACTGCAACTGCTGGTGAACGTGCCCTGGAAGTAAGGGCTGATGCAGGCCAAAAGTACCCTGCCCAGACAGACGAAAATGCATTAACAGGTGACTCCTCTCTTAGCTATAAAGAGCTTGTTCAACACAGTACTTGGGAGGGTGATCTCCAAGAATGATGGAGAGCATACCTCTAGAAAAGTGTAGACAGTTGTCTTCACTGACACCGAACTGAATGCCGCCTCCTCAAAATCTCTACTTGTCAAACGTAGCCAAAGTCTCAGATTTGAAGCTGGGATTTCCCGTTGCAGAAAAGAACATCTTTCTTCAAGCACGAGCCCTAATATAATGGAGAAGTAACATTTAGATTGGCAACTCCACAACCATTTAGCACTGGAAATGTCATTAAGAAATACTGGGGGGGGGGGGGGGAACGTAGACTATGGAAATGACCCCAAAACTGCAGCAGCATAGCTCAAGGTTGTCAGGGTAAAAGGCACTGCCACTGCATTTCAAAATGTGTTACAAACTGCAGGACTGGCAATTACTATCAACAGGGGCAGTCTTTTTTTTTTTCAACCGGCAGTTCACTTAGGAACCTGTCCTGATGGAGGCTCTGTATCAGTCCATTCTGACCACCAACACCGGAAAAGCTCACACAGAGAAATGATTTCTTAGGTCAGCGCCCAACACTCTTGGCAATGCTTGCACAATACCAGTAGCATGGATTTTATTTTTTTGCCTTCTGGGACAGCAATTCCCCAGAAACTCGACTTCCTCATCAAGAATTGATTTGAACCATCTGCCATTCATCTACATACTCTGCTTTTCTGCTCCATCCTCTAAACTACTATCCCTTTTCCACCAGACTCCAGCCTCTCCCAAGTCCTCTCTTCACATTGCTTTCCTCCTGCCACTTCCATTTAATTTCTGGACCGCCCATCAAATACATCCCTAAACACGCATTTGTACTGAAACTTCACACCTTATTCACGGCATACCCCAAAGCAACCGTGCCATCTTTGATCTGCGAGCACAGCTACCTTCTCTCACCTTGTCTTGCACTGCGTTTTAATACCTAGAACAAAGCACAAGGGAGAACTGCCCTCTTCTAACCCTGCACAGCGCTGCCAGGGCGCCACACGGTACCGCTTTACCCTGCATGGCCGGCGGGCCGCCTCGGC